AGTCTATCTATTGTTTTGTAAATTTGTAATCGACTTTTAAACAAAAAAATATCTCAAAAAAGAACAAATTACTATCTCAACACAAGTTCAATGCTTTGATCAAATTCTGTACTATCGATTACAAAAACATTGAATCTAACCCATTTTCGCTATTCCATACATGGGATTAGTGAATCCATGTGAATCCAACTACTGAATTGTCTATTCCTTTTTAATTTCTCGAATTTTTACACTAAAAGTCTAATCCTATTCCACGTGTCTACCCCCTAGATAACGGTATTACAATTGTATATATATATGCTAAGCGCAAGCGCAATGCATGCGTTCAATAGCTTAACGTGCGCTAATATTATGATGACACTAATTATATATCAAATTCAGCGTAAAACGCTTAACATCACTATGATTTGTATCATCAATCTCGGTTGATTATATTTTTCACTTCACCATATCGATATAGCTGTTATCAACTTATATGAATACTCTGGTCTTTGTTTCACATGAAATTATACACAAACTTTTATCGAAAATAGTAGTGTGTCATAAGTCCTAAATATATTTGACAAATATATTCACGTTCTTGTAGTGAACGAGTTTTTCATGATTTTTTTTAAAGAATTTTAATCCATTTGAGCAAGTTTGTTGTTTAACTGAGTTTTATTAGAATAATAGATTTGATTGTTATAGGCATTGTAACAACGGAAGGTTTCTATCAGGGACTACCGCGGCATATTTATAGTAAGATATTTATTTATAATACTTAGAAATAAGTCTTATTTCGTTGCGTGCACGCTACATTGCAAACGCATGACTCTGCTTGTACATACACAGAGACGAAGAGCACAAAGGCTACTCTGTGTATAAACAGAGTCTCACGTTCTTGCTGCTGTGTGCGCACAACGAACAATATAATTATCTTGTTCGCTGTTTGTCATTCTTACAAGCAGCTTGATCGTTTAAATAAATGCAACGGATTTTAATGTCAATAATTTTTTTTTTTTGCTTTAAAAATTTAAAAATATTCCAAAGGAATTCAAATCAATTGGTGTTGTGTTGTGTTGTGTTTGCTTTGTTCATGCATATCATATTTTTTCGATTTTGTGAATATAATACCAACGAAAATATATCAATAAGATAAAAAAAATGAGAACTTATCCGTCTGAAATTTAAACTTATAGTAGATAGAACTTGTTGGACGAAATGAACAAGTTCTATCTACTACTTATTAACAATACTCGGCGATACTCGGTCTGTGAATAAAGCCATGCAATTATCGCGCCACATTCACAACACAAAACATAAAAAATTATTTATTTATCATTTATTAAGCATGCAAATTTTTATGTTTACACTCTTTTTAGAAAGAATATTTGTCAGTTCAAGTCGTCTTTATCTTCAAACAGATTCTGTTTATACACAGAGAACACAGAGTAGCCTTTGCGCTCTTCGTCTCTGTGTATGTACAGGCAGAGTCGTGCGTTTGCATTGTAGCGTGTACGCAACGAAATAAGACTTATTTCTAAGTATTATAAATAAATATCTTACTATAAATATGCCGCGGTAGTCCCTGGTTTCTATAGTCATAACAATCATATGTATTGTTGTCGCTTGATTTCAGCCCAGGGCCGTAGCCAGAGGGGTGCTCGGGTGAGCTCAGCCCCCCCTGATATTTTCAGAGCCCCCCTAAAAAAATCGAGCACCCAAAAAAAAATTTTGGGCATTTTTTAAAAGATTCAATAGTTTTCAATAGAGGTTTTTTATTTGATACAGTAGACATTGATTTTTATTTTATTTTTTTTAAAGCAATTCAAATCAAATAAAATAGTAAAAATTACGCTTAAATCATAAAAATATTGAAACATTATAATTTTGAATCAAAGAAATAAAAATGTTCGATAATATAAATTGAATAATACTCTAAACTGAAAATCGATTAGAAAAACAAGCTGAAAATTCTATAAAATATATTTAATCCCGAATAAATAATTTTGGAATATTGTCGGCGGCTTGTTTTTCCAATCTTTTTGCCAGTTTCTGCCAGGTGGCAGCTCGAAAGAAATATATATATATGACGATGGCCATTACTACCATTAAAATGACTGTGAATAATATTCCTGAACAAAATATTATTATACCAATTTTGCTATTTTGAGAGTCCATTTGGTCGAATTTTTTTTCGTAATGCATTTGTTGAATTAATTTATCAGCTTTTGTCATCAGTTTTTGATAATCCTCCTTATGATTTTGGATGAGGATGTTTTCATCACTTGTAAGGTTAAGGTTCGTTATAGTTGGAGATATAATTGGCAACCGAAGCCGAAAAAGAAAGGGCGCTTTTTAAATCAGTGTATTTTCAAGTAATTGATCGTGTTTTATCTGAAATGAATCAACGCTTCACTATAAACGACGATATTTTGCTTGCTATTACAGAGGTGAATAGATAGATCGCAATGATTTCGACCGAAATTCACTTCAACCTTTAACAACAATTGGTTTAACTATTCCATCAGAAGCAGAATTATCTGTGGTTAAAAACTTTCGAAATAACGAATTAAACAGACAGGAAAATTCTCTTTTGAAAATACTTTTTCCTGTGAAAGAAGCATTTAAAGATACATACCGAATATTAGAGGCAGCCGAAACATTCGGCAGTAGCACTGCCATAAATGAATGCTCGTTTTCAGCATTATCGCGCATAGATACTGTGCGTAGGATGGCAATGACCGACGAACGACAATGCAATCTGGCCTTTTTATCGTTTGAAAAAAATATACTTAAAACTTTGGACCAAAAAACGATTATTCAAAAATTCGCAAATAAAAACCGACGCATTCAATTGATTTAAAAATATATAATCGTGTATAAATAAAGGTTTTAATAAAGATAGATTTGAATTAAAAATAAGATTTTTGGTTATTTTTCCGCCACCCCAAAGATTTTCAGCGCCCCCCTAATATTTTATCCTGGCTACGGCCCTGTTTCAGCCCGTGACGATATGTTAATTGCCTGAGCTGATTCAGTTGGCTGAAAAAATTCTAATATAATGTCGACATTGAAGCAACGAAATGAAAATAAAAATTAATTTAAAAAATCGGTAGATTAGAAGCTTCGAATGTACGAATGTATTCATTGCACATATCTCGATTTGAATCTCGATTAATTGCTGATAAACTATAAACAAGCAAAATACTCTGCAGGCACGATTTGAATAAATGTTAATATTCAATTGATTTTATTCACATAAAGTTATTTGATTTTTCAATGTCAAATGTTTGATGACCCATATGACCCGTTTGAGACGAAACAAGCTCTTGATTATTTACCCATTCTGAATTTAATTTTTGTGGTATTGCATTTAGTTACAATTTAAAAGAGATATTGTGACAAAAAACACGAGAAAGAAAAGTAAACAAGATGAAGTTCCTTTTACTGGCTACAATTGTCAGTTTTGTACAGGTGAACAAATTGAATTCAAACGTTTCTTTATAACAAAAAAGTCATTCATTTTATATAGTTACTAAATAACAACAATTTGATCGTATATAGTTATGTTCAAGCGCAACACTTGTAACGAATGGAACCAGCACAACTCCTGCTGATGGTGCCTTGACAGTAACCAACCAGGAAAAAACCACTAAAATTACAACGACAAGCAATTCAACGACATCGATTGCATGCAAACCGGGTGAATTTACATGCAAATCCTCGAACCAGTGTATCCCACATTTGTGGCTCTGTGACAATGAATATGTAAGTTTAGATGACGCTTGTAATTTCATTGGTAAAAATACTAATCAAACTTTGTTTCCCCAACATTAGGATTGTAGCGACACAAGCGACGAAGATGCATGTGAAAATAAAGAATGCAAACCATGGATGTTTAGTTGTGATGATGGCCATTGCATTTATTCCACGTGGAGATGTGGTCTGTGTCTTTTAAATTCAAAATGTACTTCATGCATTGTGTTATTTATTTTTTGTGTGTTTTCGTCTTGAATTACATTTTTTATTAAAAAAAGATGGAGATCTTGATTGTCGCAACGGCAAAGATGAGGAAAGTTGTACGACATCAGCAGGTACCGGTTAACAATTAGTACGTTTGGCATTCAATTCGATTTCAAAACGTTATAATAAGAAATGATTATAAACGTTGCAATAATATTACGTTTAACCGAAGTCAATGTAAAAAATATGAAATATAACTGAATTTATAAAAAGATGTATATTTATTTCAAAATCGATCGATAATAGAATTTAAATGGGCCACATCATTTTAGTATCTGCATACGAATGCATGTTTACAGCAAACGAACGTAGCTGACACACTTTTTCTGATGGCCTTGAATTGTAGTGAAAACTACGATTCATTTTTATCACAAAAATGATTTAGTCGATGTGTATTTATGAGATTCTCGAACTTGAATTTTCAGTCTATTTCAAGCTTTGCAAAAGTAAACAAGTGAAATACAAAAAATGAAGTTGTTCCTGTGTTTTATTTTTGGTTTTGTCCAGGTGCAATCAAATAAACAGTATATACGTATGATTTTCTCCTAAATCTATTGCGAATCGTTTTTTGTTGTTCTCAATTTGCAGGTGTGCTTTTGTGCACCACTTGTGAAAAGGGAGGCAAATTCCTCGACACAGTTAACGTTGGAAGACATCAGAGATATGCGAAAGTATTTAAAATCAATTCCGGGTGCAAATCTACAAGATATGGATTCATTCGCTGACATACTCATTAATTTTCTCGGGAATTCTACTGATGATCAAGTCATTGAAGGCGTTGTGCGTTGAATTCATGTCATTACAATTGTTATCTTTTTTACTCAAAGTTCTGTTTTTAGGTGAAATTATTGGGAATTGCATTAAATGTGGATGCCTCAAAAATCAATCGAACTGTTTTTGAGCAATTAAAAAACAGCAGCGAAAAAGATGTTGAAGACAATTCAATTTCCAAAATAAATAATTCCGTAATAAGAGGAATAACAGACAGTCAATACAAACATTTGGAGAATTCACTACCGAAAGAATTTGACACATTTAAAACTGAACAAATTCTTAATTTTTTGAAAGGATTTCGTGAAGGCTCCACATCAAAAGAAACCGAGAATTCTATTGTAAATGAACATTATTTTCATTGTTTTTTGTTTTTTTTTTTTTTTTTTTGATGACACTATTTACTTATTTTGATTATTTTTATTTAATTACAGAACGATTTACTTATGTCCGCAATACAAACTGTTCTTGGTCTACCACATAATCCAGGTTCTGATATAATATCTGACGAAGAAGTATTAATTTATGGTTTGAATGCCAATCAAATTTAGGTGATGGAAATTATTATTTTGTGACATTTGAAAAATTGGGGATTTTTGATGTATTTGTTATAAATGTGATCTATTATTGGAAAGTGTCTTCTTTACATTTGAATGGGTCAGAATAAAAATCCGACTTGTACGCAGATTCTATAAAAGTGGAACACAGCGTTTTTTTTACATAGAATTGTTGTTGTATTACAACAAATAAACTATGTAAAAAAACTCCATGTTCCACTTTTATAGACTCTGCGTACAAGTCGGATTTTTATTCTGACCCATTCATTTAGAAGTATCGTGTTAAGTTGATATTATTGTATGTATTCAAAGTCACATAGAAATAAAGATGATTTTTTTTTTTCAAAAAAAACTTAAATAAAAAATTGATTTCAAATGCGAGTTAGGTTATCATTTAGTTTTTGTTGCATGTGTAGCATTTTAGCAAACCATTTTCTTGTTTTGGTTCACTGAAAATAAACAATGGAGAGACTAATGATTCTTTTTTAGAAATAACTCCCATAAAAATGAGAATTTTGTATATGATTAACAACATATTTTAAAGAAAATGTTGTAAAAATATTGTGTTTCATTTAAATCGTACTGTAAATTAATGATCATATTACAACGGTGCTTGACAAAGCTATAAGGAAAACGATGTTTGTTTGGTTTTTAAATATACATCTTACAACACATATTGATAGCCTTTGACTTCGATTCAAGTGAGATAAGAATTTGAGTTCGTTTCGAAATCGTATTTTTAATAAATATTTATATGAATATTCCAATCAAATGTTTACATTGCAGTTTGTATTGTGTTTTGTAAAACTTCATAAACGCGACAAAATGAATTCATTTTTGTTAGTCATAAATTTCGGCTTAATACAAGTAATATCTTATCTTATAATATCAATGATTTTCTCAGGATTTTTTTCTACTTTTTTCAGACGTGTTTAAGTGCCTCAATCATCAAAAGAGATGCTCCAGTTGCGACAACAGATTTGAACGAATCACATATTGAACGCATTCGCTGTAACTGGAAAACTATTCCCGACGTAAAATCAGACGCAGTTGATAATTTTATCAATATCTTTCAAAAAGAGAAATTTCAAGAGAATTCGACCGACGTTGATGTCATTGCCGGAACTGTAATATATTTTTGTTAAAACGCAAAAATATTTTTGATATAATCAACAGCTTGTTAGTTTAGCGGTGAATGCCGATGTGTCCAAAATCAACAAAACTGTTTTCGAGCAATTTTCAAGAAATAGTGATGAACCAAACGAAAACGAAATAAGTGACGAAATCGAAAGCACATCAGCGAAAGGTATCACAGAAACGGATTTAAAACAATTGGAAGTTCTATTGTCCAAACAATTATCGCCGTCACAAACGATGCATGCATTGAACATATTTCGAGGCTTTCGAGAAGGAGCTACAGCAAAAGAGAAAGAAGCGGCCTTGGTAGGTTTTAGTCTCTCATTTTTTTACATTGTTGGTTAATTTCTTTTTAATAGCTTTCACTTATGATTTATAAATGCAGGTCGATTTGTATTCATCAGCTTTGAGCAGCGCATTTGGCATGGCCAAAAACAACGATATTAACGATGACAATTTTGAAGATCACTCAAATTAATATTATAATTTATAAACTATAAACAAGCAAAATACTCTTCAATCACGATTTGAATAAATTTTAATCTTCAAATGGTCTTTTTTCTGATAAATTCACTTGGTTTTTTAAATATCAAATCTTTGATGACCTATATGACCCATTTAAGACGACATTGTTGATTATTTTGAATTTGAATCTGTTTTTTGTGTTATTTGTTATGTATTTAAGAAAGTTAGTACGATTGAATTTTTTTACAATCGAGAAGAGATATTGTGACAACGAACACGACATAGAAAAATCAACAATATGACGTTTCTTTTTCTCGCTACAATTGTCAGTTTTCTACAAGTAAACAAATTGTTTTCAAACATTTTTTTTATAGCAAATATATACTAAATGACAACAATTTCATTTTATAGTTATGCTCAAGCGCAACATTTGTAGCCAATGGAATCAGCACGACTTCAGCTCCAGTTGATGGGGCCATAGCTGTAACAACTTCAGTTTCAGTTGATGATGCCGTCGCTACAACAAAAGAAGCCAATAAAGTTGGTACGACAAACAATTCAACGCCGCTACCAATAAGTTCGATGACCAAAAACTGTCTCAGAAATCAATTTATGTGTGATAAACGGTGTATTTCAAAATCGCTCGTGTGTGACGGGATTGAAGATTGTTTATCCGGTGAAGACGAAGCAAATTGTGCTCTTTCCTGTGGAAAAGATAAATTCAGATGCCGAAGCGATGGTGTTTGCTTGGATCGAATTAAGTATTGCGATGGTAAGAGAAAAATTTGTCTACTTATTACTTGTCCGTGCATCCTTTTGTAAATTGTGTAATTTTCTTTTTTTTTTTAAATAGGAGTAACTCACTGTGTTGACGGAAGTGATGAACAGAATGTGCGCAATTTTCAAGCTAAAATGAATGCGGAACAACATGAGATTGAATTAACATGGGAAGACAATTGCGCATTATTGAGTAAATATCCGCAATCATATGTTATCACATGGACTGAATTAACAACAAACACAACCAATTCTATGGAAGTGGTACGAAATGAAACTAAAACTATGTCACATAACCTTAAGAATATTCTCGATGGTGCAATGTATAATATAAGTATTTCAACAAATGCAACGAATGCCACACCAATCACACTCAAAATAAGTGGGACGGCCCCACTGCCACCAGTTTATCGCCTCCAAGGAACACAACCAGATCACGTGAAATTATCTGCGTGGATGGTGATCTTACCCATGGTGATTGTGATTGCATTGGGAGGAGTTGTTTTTTACATGATGCTTCGCAATCGAAGACTATCCAATAATTACTCTCGATTTGCCTATTCACATTATGACACCATGACGGATGTCATCAAAATTGAAGACGACGAGGATAATAATCTTTGACACAACAGTCGTGGATAATACTGACAATATGCCTCGTTTTGACGACGACGAACCGACTGCTAGTATTAACGTTACTTTAAGGCGAACAAATGGCTGAATAAGAAATAAATATTACATTCATTTCAAATCAAGAAGCTTTTTTGATCGCTTGTGTTTTATTTAAAAAAGTTTTTATATGCCTTTTTTAGATATGTTTTATTGATTCAATGGAAAAAGGATAAATTCTTCACTCAGTTTTGTTTGACATGTTCAATGGACCAAATATGGTATATTAAATGGTATTTATGTGATCTTCGCATACAGTAGCTGCGTGCAATAAACATGCGCACTCGTTTACTCATGATGTGACTATGATAGTCACTATCACAAAAACACATTCCTTGCTACGCTGATTACACCGCGTTGGTGACGCTTCGAAGTGGTAAATTTGGAAGAATCGACACAATTAAATTACCTTTCTCAAAAATACAACTCGGTGTCAAATGATAAATCTCAATTGTTTTCCTATTCCATCTGTTTCGTAAAACTTCTTTTTCATGTTCACAAATTATATTGCAGAAAATTCGTTTGTGATATCGAAATTATGTCGAATAATCAATTGAACCTTACAAACTGTGAACAAGCAAAATCATCTTCAATCACGATTTGAGTAAGTGTTAATCTTCACTTCATGCTTCACTTAGTTTAAATCGCATAAAGTTATTTGACAATTTTCATTTATGACCATTCATAACAGTCAAGTTTGATCATTTTTGATGACCTATAATCTGACCGCAAACGACACGAACTGTTGATTATTCTGCTATTTTTCTAACTACATTTTTCGGTGTGTATTTAAAAAAAATTGCGTGAAACAAAATATCAACAGTTTGGAATAGGTTCTGTGAAAACGAGCACGCTAATAAAAAGTGGACAACATGAAGCTCTTTTTGCTACTAGTTGCTATTGTCAGCCTTGTTCAGGTAAAAGCAAAAACATTGTCAATATTTATATTGAAGTATAAATAACAAAACATTCATTATTAGTTATGTTCATGTTCAAAAATTGGAAAAAAACAAACCACCCCAGTGCCAATTACAGATGATAGTGCCATAGCCAATGCTACCGAAGCAGTTGCGAAATTGGATCCAATGGTTCTCATCAATTTTGCCAACATATTCGATAAATTCAAGCCCGATTCGACTGATGAGGAAAATATTGAAGCTTCGGTATGTTTTTGTGTAAATGTGTCGGATTTTTTTTTTGAAAAGTAAATTGATGTCCAATTCACAGGCGAGACTCTTGAGTATGGCAGTGAATGGAGATTTAGCAAAAATCAATCAAACTCTATTTGACTTTTGGAAGAATCGTAGTAGTTCAGAAGAGATTGACAGCCAATCATCTGATGAGGTTTATTCACCATTTGTCTTAGATGATTTGAGTGAAAGCACACTAAAGAATTTGGAAGAAGTATTTTCAAAAATACTGACACCATCACAAACCGAACAAGCCATGACTATACTTAGAGGTCTCAGCGAAAATGCAACAACAACTCAGGAAGAAACAACAAAAGTGAGTGTGAGCATGAAGTGATTTAAAATCAATGTTCAAAGTGAAATTGCCTTCGATGCTGCTTCGAACGAAAAAAAAACCATGACTTGAATTGATGTTGCGTATAGAATTACAACGACATACGTTTGGTCCAATCGACTTTTACTTGACATTCATTCATGATGTTAATTTAAATTCGTGTTCGAAGATGTATTGAATGAAGGCCATTTCATGACGGAGATAATTCGAAATCGCAAATGCTGCAAGTGATTTATTGTGAATAATCTTATATTTCTCAATTGCAATTTCTTTTTCATAGGTTGACTTTTTCATTTCAATGGCACATAATTATCTTGGTATTCCCAAAATTGATCTATGCAACTTAATACGTGCTATTAAAGCAAGCATCGATTGTAAGAAATATGCGTCATCGTAGATTGATTTCTTGCAGCCGTTCTTTTTTTTTTCATACCAATGAGATAATAATACTCACTGAAAATTTCTTATCAATAATATTATTTTTGTGAAAATCAAATAATCAGCGGATAGGAAATAAATATGAAAAAGTTAAAGTAAATATAAAGCGGTGTGTGTTTATGTCTTCTAAATCACATTTGAAACGACTGTACAAAAAGTTCTTTGAAATTGACATTTTACACTAAAAATGGCTGAATATAGCAAATCCTGTCAAAAATTTGATACGAAGATGTCAATGCAACAGAAAGCATTGATTACACTCACTAATATATCATTTTTTTTCTGCCACTCAAATTCTATATATATGCTTTTTCATCAGTTGGAACAGTTCTTATGTGTATTAAAAAAATCTCTTTTTCCATATTACGTTTCTAGAGAGCTTGATATTGTTTAAATGGAACGAAATAATTGTAAACAAGAACAATGACTTTGTATGCACGTAAAATTAGCATAATGATAACATATCGAAATGTCTCTTTTTCTGATAACCTTTTGTTCTCTTTACAGGGTGTACCAGAATAACTGTCGGGTTTATACATAATATTCATACGGCAGTACAGTCTATTGTGATACACCCGGTCTTGTACCGTTATGTTTGTTAATCCTTAGCCTAAGTATTGTGATAATGCGCATTTCGATTCATTGTTTATTTGAGACGCAATAACAATGGATGCGAAACGTCTGCACGAACAGTCTTGATATTTTCCGACAGCTTCAAAATGAACAGCTTTGCATGAGATTTATATCGGCTTAACCAAACACGACACATGCATTGGCATGTATCACAAAGCTCCCGAATTACTTGCACATTGCGCAAAATATTGATTGATTTTTTCTTCGCTTCAATTAATTTTATGAACTACGATGGAAATGCACATGAAGTTTACGATGAATTAAAATGGAATTCAATTCGAATTGAAAAATAAAACACGGTTTTAAATTGTTGTGGGAAAAAGAATGGATGGCTTTTCTTTTCTTTTGCACAACGAAAGTAATTCACCTTTTGGAAATGTTTCTTTATGCACGCGATTGTTTAAATCAAAGTGTAACAATGCAGATGTGTATTTTGTCTTGTTAAATAAAAAATTCAAAGCGTTAAAGCGAATATTTCATGGTATTTTATGATGGCATTGCGGCATTGCCATATTGTCATGTTCGCAGCTGTGTTTCACTTGGTAGAATTATCGCCTGCATCTCAGAATGATGCAGCTCAATTTCCATTTCTTTTCTCTCTCTCTCCTCTTCCCTCTGCCATATATGTTTCTCTCTTTCTTCCATTCTTTGTCTCGGTATCTTTGACATTTGAACGATTGTATGCATATTTGCATCGATTCGCTTCATTTTCATTCTCTTTTTTTGCAATCCGAAATTTGTATAGGTTCTTTATATCCGATCACATTTTTACATGGTGTGAAATCATCAATAAAAGAACAGGACAGAACAATGAATGTGAAATGTGTATTCGGTTATATTTGCAAGACATATTTTGCATTCCGCAACAATTGAATCTATAAAATTGAAGCAAACGAGCACAATGCATAAATTTCATAGACACATAGACATTCAACGGAGCAGAAAATAGTTTTCTTTCTTCAATTTCAATGAAGTGCAAGTTGCAAATGTTTGGATGTCGAAATGGAGGGAGTTCACGAAAAATGATGCGGGTATTGAAAGTCGTTTGTGGTAAAAACGGCTCAGAGCGAATGGAACGAATAAAAAAAAATCATAAAAAATACTATATGGAAAAATGGAAAAGGTTCTTTTTATAGTTTTGGTTCGGTTGGGAAAAGTTTTAAGTTGTTGGAGAGCGAAAATATTCGTATGCTATTGATTTATGCAATTTGTCGGGATCTCTTATTCATTTAACTTTCTCAACTGAATTGAATTGATGATTTTTTTGCACTGTTTTTTTCTTTAAACTGGTCAAATGGAACACTTTGTCTATGGAATTTCCATGAACGGCGGCAATATAGTTTTATACAAAGGACTTTTTTCTTGAATCTAAAATGTTTTATTTGCTGCGTTTCCAACACCTTGGGTGGGAACTTTTACTTGGAATGGTTTTTAATTTTCCGTTCCGTTCCGTTCAGTGATTTTCTTCAGCTAAATGTCTTTTACGTTTGATAGGGGCGCATCCCATTTGGATTAAGTTTACCAGGTGTTGAACAATAAATTGTTCACCATTTTTTAGATCTATAAACCTAAATAAAAAGAGCTACCTTATTTTTGAGTCAAATTTCATGTATAAGATGGAACCAATTTACTCTTATAATCGCATAAATAGTTTTTACAAACAAATCACTTCGAAAATGCATTCTGTCATTCCGTAAATTGCACCAAATATCATTAAATTACCATCGATCTACTTTGCCATCATTTAATGTAAAATGCAAAAATGTCAGAGCTTATTATTGTTAAATTGACATGGCCAAAATCTCGAAGGTATGGAACCTGAATCTCTTTCCATCTTAATCGGGTTAAATTTGAATTGAAAATTGTTCGTTAAATACCAACTAAACTTACCTTACATCAGTCACAGTGAACTATAGAAAAGTATGAATTTTATGTTTTTGTACAAGGAAGAAGAGAAAAAAAGATTGTAACGGACGTTTGAATGACGACAAACATAATTTCTCTTTTCGTTGGCTTGCTTCCCTTTACTTTTACGTGATCGTGATTAGTAGGCACGATTCAACGGTTCCAGCAAAACTTCATAATTGATAAAGTTTTTCTTTTAGTTGTATACTTTTACGATGGTATTTTTCGTCGTTTCGTTTCGTTGTGTGTGTGCCACTGTTTTTTACGACCATAATTTTTTCTCCCCTCCCCCAGATAACCACTCATTCGAACGTCCGATACGAACGTTTAATGTTTCATGAAGCAGTAGTTAAGTGAATAGCTTATGGGAAATTAAGATTGTGTCGTCAGTTCGTGTCTTCGGCATTTTCATTTCAAGTATATCATGTCCAGTTCAGTCGCTTCAATGTTTGCTTTCACAACTACTTTTAATGCTCTTCAGAGTACATGACAGTTGCTTTAACCGTCAGTTTCACTGAACCAAAAAGTAAACTGAACACGATAAATTCCGTAAGGAACATGATTGTGGCAACAAAAAGCTGTTATGCGATATGCTTGTTGGATTTTTATTTTTTTTTTTAACGCACAAAAATATATGAATTGTCGAATACACGTTGGTCTATTACGCAAGCATATGGCGAAAATCAACAGGCGATGTTGCATTACAAACTGCAGTTTATGTGAATATTTACAGAAAGAGCATGATTTATTTTGTGTAATGACTGTCAGTCACTGGCTGGGGAAATCATCTTTAACCAACAATGATAGCTGTTGGCAAGTAGTTAACTTGTGTTTGTAGCCATTAAGTACATAAACCGCTGCATCCATGTACGAGATTTTTGCGCCGCAATGTAAGTGTGTCATTGAAACACTAGCTCAATAGCGACTCTATTAGAGAGTGTGCAAATTGAGGAAGCAATTAAGAATTTAAAAAAATGTGATTTATTTTCAATAATCTCTTTTATGGGTAAATAAACGACGTAATCGATATACTGCAATCTAATAAGTATTTGTCCATTGGTCCCATACAGTATGCATCAGCACACATCTCTCAGTATGTATCACACAAATTTATTACCAATTATTTGTTAATTAGTGAACGGTATGATTTGTTATTATTAATTGACTATCCATATCACTAAGGTTTCATCTTGTTCAGATTTCAACGTTGAATGACCTTCAGGTGAATGACCAAACGCCAGCGTTTATATGGTTTACCGCACAGTAGTTTGATTGAATTTTGAAGCAGATATGAAGATGTACTCGTGTGGTTTGCTTTTATTGATCCTTTCATCCAAGTGATATTGCCTGGCCAGTGACCATTAAATATGGTGATTGTTATGGCATATATATATATATATATTAGAGTGGTTCGATTTTGACATTTTTTCAAGCATCAAAAATCGTACCCCTATAACCTCTGTAGGAAGGTCTAGAAACATGACTATAACATCGAATTCGAAAAAAAAATGATTTTTGGTGATGCGCGGCTCCAGGCGGTTTCTTAAAAAAAATAGCACTTTGAAAATTCAACAAAAAATGGTCCCCCGGATTGTTTTTGGCACGAGAAAACCGATTCTGGCCCTAATTTTGTAATACAATTAATATTCGACACTTTTTTCATAAAAATATTCTTGAAATACATAAAATTGACGGTATTGAATACAACACGTGTAAAGGGGTTGTTATGACTTTTACAGGTGCCTTGTTTTTGAAAGATTTTTTTTTGCAGCAATCAAATCACAGTGAAAACTTGTGAATCTTATTTTCTCACCAAAATACATAATCTGGCCAACTTTGAGGAAATTTCATTCATTACAACATCAAACATGCGTGGTACCATACAAAAATCCAATTTTTTGTGATTTTTTCATGAAAAAAGTGTCGAATATTAATTGTATTACAAAATTAAGGCCAGAATCGGTTTTCTCGTGCCAAAAACAATCCGGGGGACCATTTTTTGTTGAATTTTCAAAGTGCTCAAAATTCATAAAAATTTGATTTTTTTAAGAAACCGCCTGGAGCCGCGCATCACCAAAAATCATTTTTTTTCGGAATCGATGTTATAGTCATGTTTCTATGACCTTCCTACAGAGGTTATAGGGGTACGATTTTTGATGCTTGAAAAAATGTCAAAATCGAACCACTCTAATATATATATATATATATATAAATATTAGGGTGGAACATTTTTGGCACAATTTGGTGGCCACTTGGGAAAACATGTCTTATAGTCCCCAGTTTCAAGATATGAAGGAATTTTCAACTTGCGGTTCCATATAAGACAGCGATTTGAAAAAAAAGGTGATATATTTTACTGGAATCACCATGAAAAGTTGTGAATCTTATTTTCTGAACAAAATAAGTAATTTCACCAAGTTTGATGAAATTTCAACCAAAAATAAAGGTGCCGCCATTACAATTTTTTATTTATTTTTCATCAAAAACAAACAATCTCAAGTTGAAAATTCCTTCATATCTTATATCGGGACTATAAGACATGTTTTTTCAAGTAGCCATCAAGATATGTCTCGAAATTCAAAAAAATGTTCCACCCTAGTAAATATATGTCTAATTGTCTGTACAAAAAACATTGAAATTTTTCGATATGTACTTTGAATACTATGGATTTGATTGTTGGTTGCTTGTCCTTCATTTATATACTATTTATGAAAAGCAGAAAAATTGCTTGTTCTTATGATTATTTCATTTCGTTTCTTTGCTTCAAACAAGTTGAATATTTGAACAAAAAAAATGTCTGTCGTATAAATCAATGAAAACAGAAAATGTAAAGAAAATCTATTGACAAATTCAACATTTCTTATCGATTGAACTTAAAAAAAATCATACCCAAATGATATACGATTTATGAGAGCAAAGTACAGCGATGTCATCATTTGCATATAATACTTAAACATCATGCTGTTGAATTCCATATATTGAAAATATTTAAAAGGAGATCATGCATCGCATAAAGTGATTATTCTACAATCATGTTTAAACATTGAAGTCAATTAAATCGAAATTTCTCCCTAAATATCCAAAAGTTTCAAAGCACCCGTGTGTGTAAAATACGAAGTTTTCGTTACCATCGATATGCTTCAACTGAAGTGAATAAGTTTTCTAAATCAAAGTATAAGCGCAACACATACAATTTGTGCACAGCAATTTGGAACGAGTTGGAGGCTTCAAACATCAAACTTCCATTTACGTCATTCATTTTCTCGTCTGTTGTATTCTGTGTAATGGTGTTGGATGCTAACAAATACACACCCTATGCGCTTATCCGTATGCATGAAGCATGTTGTACGGCAGCGTTTGAATGTTGCTACTATTCGGATGAACAGTGTATCCTTGCAGCTGTGGAAGCGGCAGATTTTGAAGCGCATGCTCGAAAGCTTGTTGTTATATTGAAATATAGGCATTTGCAGCATCCAGCAGTAGCGTGTAGTAGTGACAACAATAAACGAAAGTATATTCATACACACAGAGAAATGACAGACGATTCTCTTTTTCGTTCAGTGCAAATTTTCCAGTCGATGTGTGCGTAAAAGTGAATATTTTCTCTACAAAGAAAATTAATTATTTTATATTAAAAAGAGTTTCTTTTTCGCTAAAACAATCAACAATTTGCAAATTAATCGATGTATGATTCGGAAAAATTGAAAACGAAACCAAATTGATGTGGACAAATCGTCAAAAATTTGTGTTGAAAATCGATGAAGTTTCCATAGAGCTGCTGTGCTATCGTCAAAGTTTCTTGAAAAACATCAATTTTTCCCGTTTCGTTATGATTGTGCGTAGTAGTATGTAGAAGTGTTTCAAAACAATATATGCCGTTATATGGAGATTGCATCATATGACACTGAGTAATGACAATCAAAACAAAAAGAAAGTTTTTTCTGTTATATGCTGTGAACTGCGTTTATGAGTGAATGTGGTACAAAACGCAACTGAACTAGTAGTTAATTAGCAAATACAATTTAGTTTTCAAGACTTAATCAATTAAAATTATCAAATATGATTTCGATCAAAGTAATCACGGTGTTTATATTGCACTGTGTTTTATTTCGTGAAATTGCCGGAAATCCTGACGCAAAACGCTTGTACGACGATTTATTAAGCAATTATAATCGTTTGATTCGACCAGTTAGCAATAACACACAAACGGTTCTTGTTAAACTTGGATTACGTTTGTCACAAATCATGGAGTTGGTAAGTGGTATCGTCACTGCTATCGGAATGACTATCATTGACAATGCTGTTTTTTTTTTTTTCGTAGAATTTAAAAGACCAAATTCTGACTACGAACGTTTGGCTCGAGCACGTAAGTTAAAATACATTCGTAGAAGAACATTTATTAAGAAATTTAAATAAGGACACATCCAATTGGCATCAGCATCGCTTCAATATCGTCTTAATTCACTCATTCAGTCGGATACATGTTCCAAATTTATTTCCGCATTTATGCCAATTTTGACACCCACAACTTTTGATATAATACATTTACATGCCAATTTCCGGATGTATCATTTCAATTGAATCTACCAAATTTCCTTCATTTTGGCGTAATGAATCATAACTGTTTTGTATCGCCGTATCCATTGAATCTTAGTCGAGCATACCCAATAATTTTATTTAATTAAAATTTTGTATTTCTAACGGTGATTTAATTAATATATACCTTACAGGAATGGGATGACTACAAATTGGTGAGTGTGTCTTCACATTTCGCATAAATTGGAACGATTTAAATTGAAAATGTTGTTCTTTTCATAGAAATGGGATCCAAGCGAATATGGTGGGCAAATCGAGTTGTACGTTCCAGCCGAACACATTTGGCTGCCGGATATTGTTTTGTATAACAAGTGAGTTTCATCATTTAAACACAAAATTGAGTAGATTTTTTTTGAATTTTCGAGAAAGGTAGAAAATATTTCAATTTCGATAGAATAGATTTTCAATTTTTAGTCTATTCATCAAAGTGGTTTATGATCATTTAATGAAATGTTATTTAAATGAAATGAAAAATTGATTATGAAAAATGTATCGAATCAATTGTATTGGTATGACATTATTCGTACAATGTCATTAGCCCAATTCGATACAATAACAAATTAATTTGACCAACTGACGATTTCGTCGCAAAAATATGTATTTTAAAATTAAATGCACTCACCGTATTTCATAATTGAAGAAAATTAAAAACGAAACATTTCATGGTTTTTTTTTCTCTCGTTTCAACTACGTCATTTGTTTTTTTTTTTTACTTGAAAAGACAATCGAGAATTGAATAATGAAGAAATTAATGATGATATACACTGATTGAAGTAATTAATTTATGAAGTGCCACTGGAAAAAACCAAATGGATTGAATTCGATAAAAAATTGGTTAATATTAAATAAATTGAGCTTCAAGTCTCAATTTAAACATGAATGGTATCATTTCATGCCATTCAAAATTATTCAATACTTCAAGAATGCTTTTAGGCGATTTCAATTTTTTCCCCAATCTCATTCCGACAAATATTGGTAATAAATTCGTGATGAATTGATTAATGGACACAATGTGTCTTGAAATTGTTAATAGTGCATTTATTTCAATGTTTTGTTTTTAAATAAATTAAGAAAATTGCTTGAGTGCTTTTGTTTCATTGGACGATTTCATCAATTTGAATCGATATGTTTGGCATTATAATTTCCATTTTGACAGCGCTGATGGCGAGTATGTCGTAACAACCCTGACTAAGGCAGTACTTCACTACACCGGAAAAGTGTATTGGACCCCACCTGCAATATTTAAGAGCTCGTGCGAAATTGACGTGAGATATTTTCCATTCGATCAACAAACGTGCTTCATGAAATTCGGCTCTTGGACGTATGACGGCGATCAAGTAAGATAATTCAATTTACTCGGCAAATTTTATGATACATCCATGTTATGAAATAAAAAGTTTAGCGAAGAATATTTTTATGGAATTTTTATGTTTATTAAAATGGGCCAAAAAGCTAGTAGTAGTGTCGTTCATAACAAAAGAATCCATTTTAAAATGTTGTTGATTGAGAAAAAAAGTGTACACGTAAATTCGTAATGAAGGCTTATGTGGACAAAGAAATGGAGTGTATAAATCTGATGAAGTTGGAAAATGTTCGAGTTGATGTCAGCATTGAGGACGAGTGTGCATAATTTTAATTGAATTATCCATTATGCCAAAGCAATTATAAGATTCAACAATTTTTGCTCTCTATTTCTCTGTCGTCTTTCCATCTGCACTCCACATAAATACACATGAAACATTCACATTGTTCATTCGACTTTGAAAGCAATTCACTGCGCAAACATTCACTGAGCCTCATGAACAGTGGAATGAAAGTATTTATTTAACGAAAATGTGAATTTTACATAATAAAAAGCTATGTTGCCATGATTCACACTCGGTTATGGTTATGTTTTGTCCTTTTCGCTATATTAAAATGGAATTTTCGTCATGTTAAGGATTAAGTGATAGCATCTGCTGATCACACATGCATTGCACGTTTTCATACATTCATACATACAAAAAAAGCTCTACAAGTATTTAGCATGTTGTCTCTGTCTGTGGTCTGGTGGTGCATTGACAGTGGTGAGAGACAACGGCGACCACAATTCGATGGCATGAAAAAAATAAATCCATTTGGTTTTTATTTTAATGCGGTTACAAGTTGATTCTCTACCAAAAACTACGCCAAAATCATGTAATACAAACATACTAACAGAACGAACGACTGAACCGTATGTCTTCCTTTTGCTGTACAATTTTATACATAAATTGAGTGCAGAAATATTTATGTATGTACGTTTTAACAGCGCACAAACGCCACAGAAACACACACCGGCGAGAGATGAGCTGAACTATTTGAATTTACCATTGAAATGAAAATGAAAAAAGAAAAAAAACAGGAAAAATTCCGCGCTAAACTCGAATCACATCGTATCACAGCGGAAAGTTTCCATATTCCCCATGTATGCATATTCCGCCCCGTTGTCATCTTAAACGAGTTAAAATTCGAAAAATGTTCATGTGCATGACAGAATGCTTATGCATAAATAGTTCACAATCTCACATGAATATTCATGCGATGGCAATGCAGAACAAGATTGAATGATGACTTTTCTGGCTAGCCGAGAATAATGGGCAAAGCTCAAAAATTAAGCAGCGCACAGCGATTTCTCGCCGAAAAATATGTAATATTTCGTTTCAGCTTATGTCATATATCTTGTAATTTCCATCACAATTTACGATCAGAATTTTGAAATTTTCTCAGTAATTGCGCCAATTTTTTCACGCTCAACGTGATTGTTTGATGTCATCAACACGATTTTGACATATTTTTTTAATTTGCAATATTGTTTTTACTGCAACTCAATCAAGTTCCGATAACACTTTGCACACTTTAAACGTTCCGTTTTGGTGCTGTTAAATGTATTAATGTATGTATTTCATTTCACTTTGATCTATGGTATTCATTCTGGATAAGACGTTGCTTTTTATGCACAACAAAAAAATAGCGTTAAACATGTTCAGGTACAAAACATTTTAATCACTTTGTGATGTATTCGTTAGCACAATCTAAAAAGATGCGAGTAAACTGTAAGGAAAATGCATCGCAAAATCTTTTAACACGATTTTTCTTATGAAAATATGCGACAGCGGAAGTATTTGAATTACACACGTTCAAACGAACGTGTACATTTTGCAATGATGGCCTTTTTATTTGCATTTTTACTTATCCGCATTAAAGAGAAAACTATTTCCTCTTTTAATCTTTACAAGATGAAATCTCAAAGTATCTGTGACGCGCAGGAAGTTGTTTATTGAAATATTCTAAGAAAGTAATGAAGTAATAAAAAAGCTATTTTTTAATATGAAACTAGGGAAAAAAAGAAGAGAAATAAACTAAAATGTATTGTGTATGGAGTTTTGTGTATTTTGCCAAACAGAGAAGGAAAAAAACACAAATTCATACAGTATCAAGTTGAATTTATCTGAATAAGCTGTATAAATTCAATGAAATTGAGAATTTATAACCATTAATCGTGCCAAATGCATCGCATAAATCACGCTTTGAATAAGTTCATCGGTGGCGTTGGAAAAGTTCATACGAAAATGATGAAATACATTAAAGTGTTTGCAAATTCAAGATCTCTCTCTCTCTCTATTTGAATATTTCAACTGTGGTGTCAAATGCAGACATTCAAGTATTAAAATGTTCGAGATAAAAAATGATAGAATATTGTGATTGTGTTTGTATTATAGTCTATCAAAGCAATTCATTGTCGACAGATTTTATTCACCATTTTGTAAATTTTGTTGAATTTCGCACATGCTTGAATGTCATTGTACTGATTGCAAAAGCGCAAACGAGATCCGAGTTTGGATTCATAATAATTTATTTATTGAAGTTATTCGACACACATGCTTTGCAAAATATTCGTTCAAAAATTCGATGCAATTTGCTTTATGAGCGGATTACATTAAAATGAACAAGACTCTGTATGCAAGTTTGACTTCAATCGCATTGAGTTTGACATTGATGCACATCCTGAAACATAGTTTCAATCATGTTGATTTCCTCTAAATCTTCCACTAATGATGGAATAGTGTATTGAGTTGAGCGTGACTCGTTTTGAATGGGAGAACAAATGTTTCATTGAAACTCACATGTATTTTCTTGAATCTTTGAGAAATCTCACTGGATTGATGCACTTACAAACGAATTCTTTTACATAGTTCAGCATACATGCAAAGGGCATGCACAATTTCATCCGTTAAGAAATGTTCTCTTAAACAGAGCTATTGAATTGGGTTTTTTGCGCAGTTTTCATTTATTTCGAGACCATTGATAGATCTACGATGCTTTCTGGCAATTTTCGACGCACTCAGAAACTGTCACATGCAATACTAAATTGTTCGCGATAAGCAGATTTATTTTTGAATGAAAAAAAGGCGAAGAAAAAAAAAATTGGAAAAAGAGTTCAACACAATTTCAGACTTCTGACCTTTGGCATTTTTCATTCTTAACTAAATTATTACTTTTTATTATTTGTGAGATAAGAGTATGTGACATTGTGACATTTTTGGTGCTTCAAATACTTTCGATTAATTCGTTTCGATGGAATGTGTCAAAGACGATGTGAGATAACGAAAACGAACCAAAAAATGTTCATGAATCATAATAAATGTTGAAAAATCATCAATTTTTATTCGATCTTTTATCATGGTATTTTATCAATAACTTCACGATAAATGACCAACGCCGATAGAGGAACAAATCGCTGCTATTTGCGAAGGGTTGTTATCGCATCAAACAAGAACGAAAAAAAAAACGACGAACCATTTCACTTCGATTAAGAAAGTTTTGTGCAAAAATGCGAATAATAAATGTTTCATTTGATGACTTATTAAATTCCATGAGTGAAATTTGATCTCTTGTGATTTACTATAGTACGGCAGCTTCAACACAACCGAAAGAATGTATGAATGTTGTTTTTGAAATGGATGTTAGCTTGTTATTCAATCTTATAATTTCTTTCGATGTTTTTTTTTTTCATTTTTTTTCTTCTCTTTTTGCTATCGTTCATCGTTTGGCTGGACGGGACACATAGATTGATTTAAAGCACATAAATCAAACGAAAGACGATAATAAAGTGGACTTAGGCATCGATTTACGAGAATTCTATCCGAGTGTTGAATGGGATGTTTTAGGTATGCAATAATAATATGAACGAAATATGTACACGTATACATAAAAATCGTCGTTCTTTTACAACGTTTTCCTTATTCTAGGTGTACCGGCCGAAAGACATGAAAAATATTATTCATGCTGCGCTGAACCATATCCGGGTAAGCGATTCTCCCCTTTTTTTCCTTTTTTCCTATTTCCCATTCCATATTCTCATTTGTTGTGTAAGATGATTGATTGCCAACGTTTGGCAAATGATGTAATCGAAAATTGGCCAACATGAGATGAAATATGAAAAGAATTCAACGCTCAAATACACTTGTAACGTTACATTTTGATGTCATTAAAAAAGTACATGTGTGAAAATTGACGGGAATATATTGAGCATTGCAATTTGTTTGGTGATTGATCAAAATCGTCAAAAACGGGAAAAGCAATATAAAGAGGTGTAAATATCGCGTTCAAAAGCGAACGGAACAACCCATTGATGTCTATATTAAAATAATATATATTTACATACTTTTTTTAATGTATTTTTCTCATCGGTTTATTATGTTCTGCAGATATTTTTTTCAACATCACATTGCGGCGAAAGACCCTTTTCTACACGGTTAACTTAATCATTCCGTGTGTTGGCATTTCGTATTTGTCTGTGTTGGTATTTTATTTGCCAGCCGATTCAGGTGAAAAGATTGCCCTTTGCATCAGTATTTTACTGTCTCAAACTATGTTTTTCTTGCTGATTTCGGAAATTATACCGTCAACATCATTGGCATTACCGTTGCTTGGAAAATATCTCCTCTTTACTATGGTGCTGGTCGGGCTGAGTGTATTGGTCACAATTATAATATTGAATATACACTATCGAAAGCCAAGCACCCATAAAATGGCACCATGGGTTCGAAGTTTTTTCATAAAAATACTACCGAGATTGTTATTGATGCGTGTGCCAAAAGATTTGCTTCGTGATTTGGCCGCAAAGAAAATCAACTATGGCATCAAAATGAAAAAGTCCAAATTTACAGCAGCATTAACAGCCGAAATGCAATTAAATTCGGGCGGTTCGAGTCCCGATTCAATTCGAGCGATGCAAGGACGTGGATGCAATGGATTACACACAACAATAGCAACAAATCGTTTTAGCGGTGCATTGATGAGTGCTTTTGGCAATGCAAGCGGCTACAATGGATTGCCGTCCGTAATGTCTGGCTTAAATGAGTCACTAAGTGACATGGCACCACGCAAAAAGTACCCATTCGAATTGGAAAAAGCAATGCACAATGTCATGTTCATTCAACATCGAATGCAAAAGGTTGATGAATTTAATGCGGTAAGCTAGTTGCGTTTTTTTATATCGATATAGTTTGTATTGTGAATTTCATGTTAATCCTGATGTCATTGGTGATAGATCCATGATTTTATGGATTTTGTTTTAACTTTAAAAACCATTCAATTGTCTTTTATTTTGGCTTTCCCATTTCATTTGTCGGTTTGTAGGAAGATCAAGATTGGGGCTTCGTTGCCATGGTGTTGGATCGTTTGTTTTTGTGGCTTTTTATGTTGGCATCTGTTTTTGGTACATTCGTCATACTGTGCGAAGCACCCAGCTTGTATGATGACACTCAACCAATCGACACTGAGCTGTCGATAATCGCGAAGCAAATTTTCAATTTAAGTCTTCACAATAAATATTAAATTTTTGTCGAATCAAAACAACACATAACTCACATACTGATATACAAACAATAATACACGACTCCATTGACGATATGACGGTGGTAATAACCAATAATTCAAAACTAAAATTATAACCATGCCGACAAACAAATTACTGGATTCAACACCACAAATACAAAAGTTGAGATATCAAGCATATGCAGATGTAGTAGCAAATGTATGTTTTATCAATCACAAATGCAGATTTAATTCCGTAAGAATAATAATACATTCGTAAACAAACACACTTGCATTTTAAACATTAGCATACAATTTCATCGCCTCATACACAATTAACAACATTTACATATTTTAATGTTCAACACAACAGTCGTAAACCATATACATTTTAAAATAATCACTTCTGTAAATCGATGTTGAACGTCACAAAACAGTATTCATAGTAAAGCTCTCTTTACTTTATTGAACATCAATTTTATGTCATAGTTAACTATAACTTCTGAATTTGAAGGGAAATCTTTCATTGTAAGTCTTGATTTTTGCTTCAATGATTTTTTTTAAATTTGGATTAAGAAAAACAAAATAACACCATCAAAATTTAAGTTTTTTTAAATCAAAGTGATTCTCTGTTTAGACTAAAATTTAGGTGAAAATTTATAGAAAACAATATAAGCGAAATCCAGGAAATTAATAAAATGAATCTAGTTACGTGGAATTTCATGTTGTTTTATTTATTCACAACTCAACCATTTCTATTTCAACGCCAAGTGAGTATCGTATGTTTACTAAACCTTACCGTTTGTTTCCTCATTCTTTGATGTCAAATATTTCCCCGGGGACACTATTAAACACAGCATATGAATCGTTGCGGCGAAAGAGTAGCTCTTATTTTTCTCCAAATAATACTGCAACATAAAGTTTTTTATGAATAGTTTATTTGTTGTATTACAACAAATAAACCGTGTGAAAAAAACTTCATGTTGCAGTATTATTTGGAGAAAAATAAGAGCTACTGTTTCGCCGCAACGATTCATATATTCTTCGTTCAAAGCGATTCATAATTTTTCATAGCATACTTTTTATTCGTTCAATGTAATTTGCCACTTCAGTAAGTTTCTTTTTTTGCCATTTTGCAAATACATATCAAAATAATGAATACACATCGGACGCAATAGGGATAAAAAAAATGATGCTATTCAGTAGATAAAATGGATTGAAGACACATGACAGGAATTGTGTCACAAAAATTGAGCAGTTTGTCAAGAAAAAAAAACCAATATCGTGCTGATATTGGGGGGTTTAATCGATGATGAAAGCCTAAAGGTCTCATCAATAATTCATAAATTCCGTTGTGAATTGCTAAGATGGTCTTTGATGAAATTCTAATTTTCTTTCATGCATCGCGCTTCGAAATGGATACCATTGAAAATGGTAAGACGAACCATTTAAAAATTCTTTCATTTTGGACATTTTTATCTGCACTTTGATTAATAATTGCGGAACCGGCTAGAAAGAGAGGGAGAAATTAACGACGACAAAAATGATATATGAGACTTTTTTTATCATACTTCCAACAAGAAAGCGCATTTAGATTTGGGCCTTAACTATTTCATTCATCACAGTGAAATGGAAAATCTGCTACAATTAAAGTCATCGCAAATTAATTTAGATTCAGTCCACATCATTTCAAAAAAATGCAGCGAAATAAATCCTCCGAAATATTCTTCGTCTGGAAATAATTGCAAGAGTGCCAAAAGAGCGGAGATAAGATAGTGAGGAAAAATGCATAAAATATTTCTTATTCTGCCATAATTAAAGGCGCGTGAAGTGCAATTGTATTTTTTTTCGTGGCCGTTGTTAATGCAAATTTGCTCAAATCAGATTGAGTAACGTATTTTTTAAATTGCAAAGTTCCTGAAGAAAGACTCAACTTCATACATTGAGTCATTTTGATAACTTCTTTTGGTTTTGTTCGGTTCATTCTATGGCATTTTTTTCAACGTTTAAACATTTACTGTAGATTAAACGTATTACGTTTTCCAACGACCAACTTATTGCATTGAAATAAGATTGTAGAATATGTTCGCTGGTGGTGAGAGTACTTCATCGCAGAGTGCACGTGATGGAAGCTAAAGATTCTTCATCATTGTATTTCAAAAAATGACATTTACAAATTACATATTGCATTGTCAAGTGTTCTCGTGCTTCTTACTTACAAATAGACAGATTTCATGCATTCTTATTCTTCTCGTGTCTACTTGGATGCGAACGAAAACGAATGAAAACAAAAAGTTCCTGAAGAAAAACAAATAATTTCTTTGAGTGCGTTTCAAAATTAATTATAGCTATCGTTTGATATTGTATTCTATTGTTTTCTTCTTTCACCGACTTGCTTCAAAGTTGTGAAAAAAACGAACCGCAAGCGTTTTTATTTGTATGGCAGACAAGCTTTAAAAAAAGGAAGAAAAATTGACTGTAAAGCCGAAAGAAAAAAACAGTGTCTTCATTTGTGCAAATGCAGTAAATTCATTATCGTCAAGCAAATTTTAACGCCATTTTATTGGTCGCATAGTAACACGAACTCCGGCCACTATAGCTAATTTAATCAGCGTCGCACTCGCGCAACGAATTAAAATAAATAGCAACAACGACATAAGCGAAGGGAATGAAAAATGAAAATTTACGCCACAACCACAAAAAGAATAAGACTTTGGTGGTGGTTTCTTTTGCATTTGGTCGAGCGAGCACACACGCGCGCGCACGCCACCAAGTGTCTTTCTTGTTTCTTGCAAAATGATTAATTGCATTTTGTTTTGTGGTGATGGTGATTTAGGTCGTTATTAGCGTGCAAACGCATTGCATTTTACCAACACCAGTCCTTATGCTTAACCGTACCAAGTGTTGGTAATTTGATCTAAAATTCTCTTATTAAATGCCACATGATGTAGTCACCGAAAGAGAAAAATAAAAACAAACTTCACCGCAATAAATAATGGTGTTATAGATCTATTTTGTCGGAGCGAGGATTTGCTGAAACGATCAATTCTTCTAAATATGTGTTTGGGGTGTGAACAAAACAAAAAAATTAGAATGTTTTCAATCAAAATCACTCATCAAGTTTTTTCCATAGCTTTACTTGAGACGGTCAGGTCAACGCATAAAGAATTTTTTATTGTGTCAAAACTTGTATTATTGGTTAAAATTTATCGTCAACTTAAGCCCTGAATCGAAAAAGAAAGATTCACTGGACTTAGATTGTTTTTAAGGAATCGACTCTCTTACTGTCGCCCTTTTCATTTCCAGTATTGGATGTTGGATGTTGGTATTCAACGGAAATGAGTGTGAATGAAAGGTAAGTGCATATACTTTGATATATTATATCAAATTTAATGAACTGAAGCGAATTGGATTAAGGTCCGATGCATTAAATCGCGAAATGAAGAAAATTGCAATTAAATATGGAACTATATTTTAATTGGCTGAATTCAAGCGGAAAGCTCACTAAACTGTGAGATTTTACTTTTCCCCACCATTCGGTTGAAAAGAAAGTTTTAATTGGAATTTTATTGATATTGTTTCCAGAGAAATTGCATTCAATTTGGCGAGGGGCAAGCGTATTGTTTCAAATTAAGACGTCATCCAATAAATATATATAAATCCGCATAATGGATTCTAAAGTAAATATTTCATACATTCATTTCTTGAAGCAAGAATGTTCGAATGCGTTCACATTCTTCTATGTAATAAATGAAATGCGAAATTGTTGCAAGCAAGAAATAAGTTTCATTTGTTGTTCTCACCGTAATTATGTAGTTGAGACAAATTACATCAAAAAATGAAGAAGAAGCAGAAGTAGAGAAAAAAATAATAATAAAAAAGTAATCAAAGGAGTTAGTGCCGTAAATGTATTGTTCAAGCGAGTCCGCATCTTTTCCAGCATCATTTCAATGCACGCCAACAATTCTTTAAACAAACTTGAGTTTTTGCCTGAATTCTTTATTTGTTCGATGTGTTGTTGTGTTTTGAACTTTTTCGTTATGCAGTTTAATTAGATGTGTATACAATTCATGCGGTACAATGTCGTGCAACGACTGCATAGAACGAACAATTAAAAATGGAAAAATTCAATTAAAAATGTGATAAATGGATATTTTGTGTGAATATGGACGACAAGCGCGATGTAACCGCTTTTATTGCTAACTTTATTAACGCTTTCTATCTATTATAAATGATTTGTGCATGCAAGTAAATGGTGTTTCAGTCCGATGAGTGGGCTGTATTTAGTTCCTCATTTTCAGCATGCGATTTATTTCGTTCGATGAGTCGATATTCCAGTGGTTTTTCTCCTTCCGAATATAATTGATCCGTAAAATAAATTCGCCGCAACCGAATATTTGCATTCATGCGAATTCGAACAGTTTCAATGTACCGTGTACCATATATACGATGTGTAAAATCGGCCAAATTAATTTCAATTTTATTCCATCCGTTGGCCAACAACCGCAACGGAAATACCGTAAAAAACATGTTGGTTCGAGTGTATGGTTGAAAATTTGACGCTTGAAAACGACGTAATTGATTCAAACTGTCACGAATCTCAATCTCGAATGTACAATATTTATGAAGATTTTTCAAAATTATTGTTATGAATGGCATTTTAATGCCAAGCGATTTAAATGGTTCGATTGGAGTTGTAATTAAACACGTAGACACATTTGCGCCTATCAATTCCAGTACCAGCGAATTTAAATCCTCGTCGGTAATTCTTTTGCAATGGCCTTCTTTTATTTGACATTTCCAATATTTTAACGGATTTCGTCCAATCGAATAAAATACCGTGAAAAAGCCACCTTTTTGATATGCGTTACGAAACATGTTTTTCGTTTCACTTGATTGCTTTCATACGTTTTTACATGAAATGTTTACTAGGATCATTTGTTTTGTGTTTGATACATTGTGCTATTGTCATTGTCACACAAATTGTTGTTTTATGAGTACTCTGTTTAATAGGCTTAATTTTATGCGTCATTCGATTTGAAATGTTACTTTACATATTTGTAGCAATAATTTTTTGAGATAAGGAATGGTTTGGAAGATATTAAATGCATTGTAAGACACTGAAACAGTAGTAAAGCCTACAACAAAATAATACATCATATTTTTGATGATTTTTGAAAGAAAGTAGTAAAATCATATTACAATATTACTGCATCTCAAACTGGAAACTTCGACAGATGGACCAATAATAACTCATAATGAATGTATCATTTCGTTATATTCAAAAGACTACAATATGATGTAATTTATTTTAAATTCAATCTGTGACTCAGAAAATCATTTATCTGCATGGCGTATACTTTGTCAATTTCCTTGGTTTTCTGTTTCTTTTTTTTATGGTTTGATGGTTTCTTCGATATTTCTTCAAGATATGATTAATATAATTTCCTACGTAATTCAAAGGGAAATTCATAGAAGAAACTATTGAAATTAAATATGAATCATCCTAAGAATCATCATATATAAGCGCAACACAACTTTTTTTATAGATATCTATTATTTTTCTCTAAAAGATTCCTTTTCCGCGTCAATAAATAAAGTCATTTCAAATATTTCGTTAGCATGTTACTTTTTATCGCATTTCCTCTTGTTTGAAGCACATGTGAATTGATTTCCATGTTTTTTGAACATAAAGGTACGAACCTTAACCATGGGAAT